ACTGTAGCTGTAATCCCAAGTGTGAAATAGAACTAAAACAGTCAGTTATGAGACATTAAAATAAGGACTGAGGCAGATGATCCTTTTGTGGAAGGGCCTCAAAAGTGTAAAATAAAGAATAAGGTAGTTATTCAATAATTTCCAAAACGAGTGAGCACTGTTGTCCTATTTTCTGAAGATGAATAATGTTTTCAAGATTTCTTCCATAGAATGAAACAGCCTGTCCCCACAGGAGAAGATCTCTTCACTGTACCTCTGTTCCCACTTTTATATCACACCTATAGAGAGATCATTATTAGTTTCTGGAATCTTAAATGCACTCATTAATCTGACCTTCTAGCCAGTGAAAGTAAGTTCTTTGTTATCTGAAGGAAAATGACCCAAATACCAATATGTCATTATCTTAAACACTCTGGAGTTGACTAATTTTTATTATTTACTAATTGTCTTCTGATGGTTTCTGTATTAGTGTGTTGCTTCCAGCTTCAAGTAACAGACAACCCAACTCGAAATGGCTTAAAGAATAAAAGGATTTCTTTTCTCTCATCACAAGGAGTCCCACATAAGGGAGGCTCTAGGACTGATTAACTCAGAAGTTAAATCACATTATAGAAGACCCAGGTTCTTTCCATGTTTTCACTCTTTCATCTGAATTTCCAGACTGAAAAAAAGTACAGTGTGTTAGCCAGGGTTCTCCAAGAAACAGAACCAAAAGGCTAGCTAGCTAGCTAGAGAGATTTCAAATAATTGTTTTACGTGACTGTGGTGGCTGGCAAGTCTGGAATTTGTAGGATAGTCTGGAAACTCTCAAACAGGAGCTGTTGCTGCAGGCTTAATGCAGAATGTCTTCTTCCTCCAGGAAACAGTTTTGCTCGTAAAATCTTTCAATTGATTGGAAGCCTACTCAGATTATCAAGTGTAACTTTCTTTACCTAAAATCAACTGGTTGTAGATGGTAACCACATCTACAAAATACTTTCGCAGCAACGCCTAGATGACTGTTTAACTGAATAACTGGGTACTATAGCCTAGCCAAGTGTACACATAAAATTATCACAGACAGTTTCTTTTTCTCATGCAACTCTTAAGCACAAAGAAACCTTTTTCAGAGGCTCCCCCCACCCCAAACAGACTTCCTCTCAATTTCTGTTGGCCAGTGCTGAGATTAGTACCCTTTATGAAAACAACCTTTTGCAAGGGAAATGAAATCAAAATTGCTTTAAACCAATTGGGTTTCAGCTGAGCCATGTAGGGCAAGAGTAGATATTAGGACTAAATATGGGAGGAGGGAGGGGAACATTGCTGTTGGGTAGGCAAAAAGAGTATCTGGATCATAGCAGGAGCTCAATAAATATTTGAATGAATCAATAAATGAATGATGGGGACTTCCCTGGTGGTGCGATGGTTAAGAATCTGCCTGCCAATGCAGGGGACATGGGTTCGATCCCTGGTCCGGGAAGATCCCACATGCCATGGAGCAACTAAGCCCGTGCGCCACAACTACTGAGCCTGCGCTCTAGAACCTGCATGCCACAACTACTTAAGCCGGCGCGCCTAGAGCCTGTGCTCCTCAACAAGAGAAGCCACCGCAGTGAGAAGCCCGAGCACTGTAACAAAGAGTAGTCCCCACTCACTGCAACTAGAGAAAGCCTGCGCACAGCAAAGAAGACACAATGCCGCCGATAAATAAATAAATAGGGAAAAAAAAAGAATGGTAATGCCAGCTGAGGATAATGAGTTCTAGTGCCTTTTCTCCAAATATATATACCCCATTCAAGAAACTACTTTAGCAGGTAAATAGTATGCCTGCTGTGTGCATGATGTATGACTCTTGTCTGTGTGAAATCACATTCAAATCTTTGCCACACACTGCTAGGGATTATCACTCATAAATACTAAGTGAATACTAACTATGCTCAGGGATGAACTGAAAAAGAAAGGCAGAGAAATACTATTCTAAGTTTATAATCTATTTAATTTAGGATATTAAATGCAAAAGCTTTCATGCTGATGTACTTGAACTCCTAATTCTAGAACACACACTAAAATATTGGTTTTTTTGTTTTGTTTTTATTTATTTATTTTTGGCTGCATTGGGTCTTCATTGCTGCATGCGGGCTTTCTCTAGTTGCGGCGAGTGGGGGCTACTCTTCATTGTGGTGCACAGACTTACTGCGGTGGCTTCTCTTGTTGCAGAGCACGGGCTCTAGGCACACGGGCTTCAGTAGTTGTGGCGCGTGGGCTTCAGTAGTTGTGGCTCGCAGGCTCAGTAGTTGTGGCACATGGGCTTAGTTGCTCCACGGCATGTGGGATCTTCCTGGACCAGGGGTTGAACCCATGTCCCCTGCATTAGCAGGTGGATTCTTAACCACTGCGCCGCCAGGGAAGTTCCTAAGATATTGTTTTTTTTGATAAATCAGACTGCAATTTAGAGAAATCTCCTAGGAAAGCAGAGAACCTCACCTGGGGACTATGCATTTCTCCAGGGAGTATCAAGGTATACTCAGGGAAAAAAAAATGTTACAACATAGTAACAAATGCAACGTGTAACATGTTACAACATAGTTTTTTATGTTTATCTAGCCAGGGCTTCTTTTGATCAAGAATCTGGGTTCATATAACTTGATATAGGAACAAAATGGAGATATGTTCAGAATAAATGGGATTCTGATTTATTATACACACATAAGCATGCACACACACATACACATATGCACAACCACCACTACACCCAGTCTTTACTATTTTCTTACCACTTTAATAATTAGATATTGTGTTATGTTCTTTTCATACTAAATTTTCATGGAAAATACTCAGCTGGCCCACAAGAAATTATTATTTTCCAGTTGTCTGGCTAAAATGCAACTTTATGTATTAAGAATATTATCAGAAACTTGTGAGGAGCTCCCGTGGATAAGAGGAAGTCTGTGACTAATTTCTCCTTCTTAAGCACTTTGAAAACCACTTCCCTTTCATCTTCCTGCTTTCCGTGTGGCTTCTGGCCAATGTGTTCCTATGTATTAGTCTTGTAATCCGCAGAGTCCTTAAGATTTAGCTGGTTTCTTTCCATGCAAAATAGGAAGAACAATAGTTTTCTGAAATGCCTTAGAAGGTTCTAGATTTCTCTTTCCAATGTCAGTCTTTTCCACTAAAATGTGATATCCTTGGGGACAGGAATTATGTCATTTTCACCTTTATCCCTAGGTGCTCAATAAATGTTGGCCAGTTGAGGTAATGAAATATCCGTGCCACATTAATTAAGGTTCTCCCTCAAGTATTTTAAAAGCATCTCCTTCTACCATCCTATTTTCTGATTGTTCAATTGAGCTCTTGCTCTAGAAGTACTTTTGTATTGTCCTTCATGCTTCTTCTTCCCAGTGGAGCTGTGTTGCATCAGAAACTCTTGACAAGAGTTTTGGACCTTGCTTTTGGTCACCATGTCTTACTTTTAGCTAAGATCGGTTCAGGTATGGACAAGATGCTAGATGAGGCTTGTATAGGGTAAGAGGTTGCTAACAAGTATATACTGATAATTACATTTGATAAACACTGATAATAAATGACTATGTATTGCCTGTCATAATACGGTGGTTATCTGGAGGTGTGAATAAGAATTTGAATATTTAACCAAGAAGACTGAGATACTCTTGGGAAAACAAAAAGATGTTTACTTCATGTAGACCCACTGAGGGTGGGAAAAGCAATGGTAATTGAATCAGTTTTATTAATGAAAAAGATAAAAATTAGGCCCATGTACACTATTTCCATTACACCAAAACAAAGCAGGCAGGAACAGTGACAGGTGTGTATTTTAAAAATTGTGTGGTTTGAACAAAATACCCTCTCCCTTTTGATTAGTTGAAAGGCTTTCTGGAAGTGGTTGAAATACGACATGGCGTTTTAGTAAGATTTGAGAGAGTGCCTGATGATCTGGAAGTAAAATCAGGGCTGAGAAAGACAATCCAGGACCAGAGCAGATATGTGAGAAGCGTAAGACATGACAGTGAGATCACAGATAAGACAGGAGTGAGAAAAACTCAAGGAGCAAATATTTAAAGTAAGACTATAAGTAGCCCAGGTTCAACATCTGGGTACCTAAGGGAGGAAAACAGACTCATTAATGCTGCCATCTTGAATTTACTTCTCAAAATTTTGAGTACATAGAGGGGATTTAACATTTTTATTGAAGTATAGTTGACTTACAATCTTATATTACCTTCAGGTGTACAACATGGTTATCTGATGTTTCTATAGATTACACACCAAAGTTCTTATAATATTATTGACTGTATTCCCTGTGTTGTACATGACATCCTCGTGACTTATTTATCTTATAACTGGTAGTTTTTACCTGTTAATCCCCTCTACCTATTTTCTCCATTCCCCAACACCCCTCCCCCATGGCAAACACTAGTTTGTTCTCTATACTGATGAGCCTGTTTCTGTTTTGTTATGTTCATTCATTTATTTTACTTTTTAGAGTCCACATATAAGTGATAACATACAGTATTTGTCTTTCTCTGTCTGACTTATTTCACTAAGCATAGTGCCCTCCAAGGTCCATTCATGTTGCAAATGGTAAAATTTCATTCTTTTTTTTTCCTTTGGCTGTGTAGTATTCCATTACACACACACACACACATGCGTGTGTGTGTGTGTGTGTATGTATATATGTGAAATCTTTATCTATTTATCATGGAGGTTCCTCAAAAGACTAAAAATAGAACTACTATGTGATCCAGCAATTCCACTCCTGGGTGTATATCTGAGGAAAAATGAAAACACTGATTCAAAATGATGCATGCACCCCAATGTTCATAGCAGCATTATTTACAATAGCCAAGATATAGAAGCAACCCAAGTGCCCATCAACAGATGAATGGATAAAGAAGATGTAATATATAAGCAGTGTTGGGAAAATAGGACAGCTACATGTAAAAGAATGAAACTAGACCATTTTCTCACACCATATACAAAAATAAACTCAAAATGGATTAAAGACTTAAAAATAACACCTGAACCCATAAAACTCCTTGAAGAAAAAAACGGGGATTTAATATTCTTAATTTAACTTCCTATTAGAGACCAAAAGGAATAGAGTGTTAAAATGGACTTGTTATGTCCTTTTTGTGGGTGCACCTCTAAAGGTGCAGAAGGCAAGATGGAGGCTCTTAGAAGGTACTGTTGCTACAAGAACTTAGGTCTGAGGCTTTTAAAAACTATTGAGATCTCCTTGTCGCTTTCCAAATCTGAAGTGAGAAACTTTCCAAAAATGCAAGGCTAAAGGGACAGGGAGTATCTTTTAATCTACTAGACACCAAGGAAACAGTAGACACTTTTCTAGTAGTGTATTGTCTTTGCAGAGAAGTTTAAACTATTTGGTTTCCCTAAAAATTGAGAGTAGCGGTTTGCAATTGGGTGATGCTAAGTGGGCCCTGATGTGGGGAGGAGAGAACGCACAGCCTGGCATATCATTGTGCCACCCACCCAGGAGATGAGTGGGGAAAGCAGAAACTCACCTGTCTTCTTGCTTTGAGTTTTGACTTCTAGATTACAATCGCAGAGTTCAGACAGCCCTTGGCAAATTGTTATTTGAGCTTGCTGAAATTAGATATGTACATACAGACCTAGTACCAGAGTATACCTTGACATCTGTATAGTTAGTCTGGCTTTTTCTAGATTCCACAGGATTTGGAGTTCTTGTCTCAACCTTCAGACTTCCATCTGCAGTGTGGAATTATCAGTCCCCAAAGATATGGCTAAGATAATTTTGCCCCTTACAATAAAGGCCAAATGTGTCCCTCTAGCCATTATGTAATATTCTTCTATTGGGGGTACTTGAGATAATATGTGTGAGCATGCTTTATAAACTGTAAAGTGCTATCTAAATAAAAGTTTTGTGGCTATTGCATGGTTAAACTAAGCTTTGCAATGAAAGAATTGGAATTGAACTGCAATTCTCAGTCTGGAGCCCACTGTCAATTAGGTTTATAGTTTCATCATTTGCTATTTAATTGTCTTAAGTTACCCAAGTGCCAGGCCATGTTCTTGTATTCTTTCTTCCGTAAAGCAGTAGAACAAATACTTAAGTTTAACGTAAAAGTTGACACAGACGGAGGCAATATTTTTGTTTTTAGGACATTAAAAGACAGATATTTGGAGAAATGCTTTTAAAACATTTTGGAATCTGGCTAAGTCTATCCATGGCTTTCACCAGCTGTCCCCCTAATTTGTCTCTCGCAGCTTCTTCCCATCTTCAAGAGCCTGTATCGACGCTCTCCTCATTGATGTCAGTTGGTGCAGCAGCTCCAGGTGTGGTCAGGGTTGTTGGAATTCTAGAGGGGTCCATGTCACTTTATTTTTAGACTCCTTGTGACTTAAAAACATAAGAAATACCATAATAAGGTTAACAAAATTATGGTATATTTTTTTAAATTATGTCTCTTTATTCATACTTAGATGTAGGTTATTTTTACAATCTTTATTTTTGTTTACAGATGTGTTTAACAATTATTGAATTTCTAGGCCAGGTTCAGGTATCTAAAGAGCCTTTATAAGTAGTTTATATTGTCTAGACCCAAGGTATGCTGCAAGCCCAGTCTGGAGCAAAATTAGAAATAACATCTTTCTAAAGACAGGTTTAGTCATCCTAATCCAGTAATTTGTTTCCTTTCTCGGGCAGCAGGGCTGAGTTATACCTGGTTAGGCCACCATTCACAAGGGATAGCCAAGAAAACAGGGTACAGGTCACCAAAAACAAGACCAACCAATCCACCATGTGTTATGGTACAGGTTTCGCTATGCAAATCATGAAACCTTTGTAAGATACGTGTGCCATCAAAAATGGGATCACTGCCATTGGTAAACCAGCAGCTATATGAGACACACAGGTGTCACAGGTAAGATGCATCAAAAAAGACCATTTGCTATTAGGCCACAGAGAGCAGCATTAAGTCCAATATAAGTTGATCCATTTTCAAGCAGATTCCTTTCTGCTTCCGGAAGTTGGTTAATTTTCCTGGTTATGATATCAAGTTCTCCTTGACAGTATCGTCTGGTTCATGATTTTCCATCTTGAGCCTTACTCTTTCCACCCAGCACTCGCTGCTTCCTCTAGTCTTCTTCAGCCATGCGAGGGCTCACTCCAACCTTTGCTCAACTCATCCAGGTGCAGCCCGCCTTCAGCATAGTTTTAGGGTTCAGACTTAACAAATGAATGCCCTTAACACAAACGAATAGATATTTTAAAAACTTAAGTTGATGCACACGTTTGATACACTGCACTGGGCATAAAGGTGATTAAGACATAATACTCTCCCTCAAGGAATTCTCAGTCCAGCAAACTGTGCAATAGTATATAATAAATAATTGCACATAATTGTCGATAAGGTCATACAACCAGAAAATACTTAACACGTAGTCTTTTTTCATAGAGAATGTCAAAACTTCAAACAGAAGTTCTTTCCTGTGTGGAAGCCTAGAGCAAGCGACTCTCCCGACTACTTCATGGGCCCTGAGCACACTGGGCTGGCTGTTCACCTCCCCAGAGACCCATTCTCTGGTTCTTTGAGGTTGCTGGCATATATGCAGCCACACCCTTGTTCATTGTGATTTTCAAGGTGACAGTGTGAGTTGCCATTTCACAACTGGGAAAGCCCCATTGACTCCTGGCCCAACAGTGGTGCTGAAGCTTTTTTCAAATCGGTTCTCTCACTTTGAAAGCTCTTTTCATGTTTCAAAACACCAGAGAGAGCAAACTGATGCTAAATTACGTAATCTGTAGAGCAATCAATTGGACTAGGGGGAAAACAAAAAAAGTTGGTCTGGTTATTTTGTTCCAGTCTGCACAGATAACACTCAATATCTTAATGGAGCTAAAACACATTACTGTCTAGGAGAGAGAGAGACTACAGTAACAGGTAGTCAATTTTCCCTCCTGAAAAACTTCATTTTGAGAAGACATACATTCTACACAAATCCTAGCTCCTGCTTGCACACTGTAATGCTTCAGTATACTAGGGATTCTTTGACCTCATGAGATACCTCCCCAATCCATGCCTTATATATATCTCCTGTCTCGCCAACTCAGAGCAATTGGAAGAGACTGAGAGGTTCAGTTCTAAAAAACAAGCCTCATCATAATGGAAAATCCAATTAACTTTAGATATAGGAGACGCATACCAGCAGCAGTGCTGTAATTTTACCTTCTATGAAAATGGCTTAGCTGTTCATTAGGTAGCATGTCAAAAATTAAACAACGTCAATTATTTTCCTTGTCTCAAGATCTAGCATTATCTGGGGAATTAGAAGACCGACCACTGATATACATTTCAACTAGATGTAATTCCTGAAATCTTTGTTTTTTACTGTTTTATCTTGCATGTTCTGGGATGAGGGAAAATAATTTTCTCTGGGGAACCCAGACTGAACTCCTGTTCAATGGTTTGTAGATTGTGAAATGATGATGCGGATAATGTTGATGTCGTTTTTAGCTTTCCTAAGCGAAAAGTGATATGAAATAGCGATATTATCATGCTTACTGTCTCAGCTGCTTTGTGAGAGAAGTAAGAAAGTGATTGTTATCCCTGCTTACAGGAAGATAAACTGAGAGGCTGCAGGACTGGCTGAAATGTTCATACGTGATGGTTGATGGAGCTGAAACAAAAGCCAGGTCTCGACATCAAGCTCAGTGTCCAGCCTCCATACTGTGCCTTCTCACATTGGCAAAGCTGACACACCCTGGGTTTCTAATGCAAGCCTGATTTTTATTACTTTTTCCAGATGTGCTTAGCTGCATTGAAAAATAAATCTATTCTTTTCCACAAAATGGCGAAGGATAGAAAGATGGTTAAGTCCTAATCCCTATCCTCTAGAGGGTTAAAACAGTACCACAGGGCTTCCCTGGTGGCGCAGTGGTTGAGAGTCCGCCTGCCGATGCAGGGGACATGGGTTCGTGCCCCGGTCTGGGAAGATCCCACATGCTGCGGAGCGGCTGGGCCCGTGAGCCACGGCCGCTGAGCCTGCGCGTCCGGAGCCTGTGCTCCGCGACGGGAGAGGCCACAACAGTGAGAAGCCCGCCTACCGCAAAAAAATAAATAAATAAAACAGTACCACAAATACAAAGCAGAGAAATCATAGACAGCATATTAGAAATATAAGAAAATTATATTAAAGTCTTTCTGAAAGTAGGTAAAATATAAATTATAGGTGTGTAAACACATACTTATAAGTACAAGAGTGATACGGAAGTTTAAGGAGGTCTCTTTTGGTTGGGAGTAAAGAAAAATCAGGGAAAGCAAATGAGGGAAGAGGGGAGGATGATTGGGCTGCACTTCCCTTCCCTGGGGTTTCTTTTTGTTTAGCCAGCCTGCCCTTCCCCAGGCAGAGTTTCTCCAACTTAATGCTGCATGTAAGACTTAACCGAGGGAAACTTTTTTAAAATGCAGGTTCATGTGTTCACAAACATCTAGATGCCATGGGCCCACAGTGAGATCTTGAAATCTGCATTTTTAGCAAGGCTCCAGTGGCCGAGAGTCAAGCTTTGGACTTTGAATTGGGAAACAGTGCTTTGAGATCATGCCAGTTATCAGTTTTAAGGAAAGGAGAGTGCCAACTTGGAAGATATAGATGATATAGGAGTCCACAAAGGGTGGTCTTTGCAATCTCCATCTGACATCATGGGAAAGTAGGACTGAAAGAGGAAAGGAAAAGACACCTCTCAGTAATTAACGAATACAGTCTTCTCCCAGCCCACGTATACTTGGGCACAGCCCTGTGTGCGTGCATCAGAGAAATCTGAGTCCTGACAATGCTTTCCCTGTCCAGCTCCTACATTTCCTCTGACCCTCCTATTGTGCTTCATCTGGGGCACGGCTGCTCTCATTTTCCATTTATGAATAATTTGGGGCTATATTTAGGCATCTCCAGTCATTAGGTACCCACATTTCTGTACACAGCCTATAAGGTTTTATTTTTTTTTTTTAGAATTCTAGAAATTCATGAGAAAGCAAGCTCTTAATATTAGGTCACTTAGTCAATTACCTCCCTTCCTGCCTAATGCAAGATCATTCCCAATAGTCCTGTTTCTGGCTCTGTTGTCTATTTTTAAATGTACTAACTGATGGTGATTCTGCCACTCCCCTCAGGAGACTGTTATCCTGGCCCACCATTCTCAGTGTCAGGGGGCTTTCCCTGGTAATTAGCTCCAACTTGCTATTTCTTCCCCTTCCCATTATCCTTGGTTATCAATTCCCTTGTAACAACATTATTTCTCTCACAGTAGTTCTATATTTTTAGACAGTTTCCACAGTTTCACAAGCCACTGTTAAAAAGAGTTGAGCTACTTAGTATCAGCCCATATCTTAATCAGTCACGCTGTTGGAGGGTGAAGATGGACCTAATGCAAAGGGTCATTGGGTCCTGCTGTGTCCCGCCATGTGCCTGCATCTCCGTGCTTGTCTGCATTGATTTTATCAGCCTGAGGTCATCCTCCTCTACAGAGCAGCGTCTCTTGAAGCGTAATGTGTCTAGGTCACGTGAAGGTGTATAAAAAAGGGCCACCTCATTATCTGAAAAATGGGAAGGAGACTGCCTACTTGGTTACATTTCTATGAATGTTAAATGATACCAGGTACACAAATAATTTAGCAAAAATTCTAGCATGCAGTAAATATAATCAAATCCTGAGGCATATGAAATGGTACTAACATGAATATACCTCATTCTGTTTTCAGCTTTGTTAATTGCTGGTTATATGACCTCATCAAAACTTATGTGCAATGATTAATTATATAATCCTTCACAGTTGCTGGACCGAGTATTCCTTGAGGAGAGGAATTGTGTCTTATTCACCTTTATGCCCAGGGCATCAAGCTTAAATGTATCAGCCTAAGTTGTTTTGCCTTCCTGAGCCTCAGTGTTCACTTCTGTGAAATGAGCACATATGATCTACCTTTAGGTCAGACATAATGTCCTAGCTTATACCTTCTTAGCCCACATTTTTGCTCCAGCCACTGCTGCAGCTACCTCACGTGCAGAGGAAGAGACCAACGACACTTCACCTCACCTGCACCCCGAGGAATCCTGCCATCACCTAAGAGACATCTGCAAGAGCTTGGGTCCAATCATCCAAGCAGTGGTTCTCACCGGGAAGATTTGGTGATCACAACTGTGGGAGGGAGGTGCCATCGGCATCTACTAGAAAGAGGCCAGGGACACTGTTAACAACCTGCGATGTCCCCAACAAGAAAGAACTGCCCAGCCCGTATGCCAACAGTGCTGCTGCTGAGAAACCCTGATAGAGAGACCCTACAAAAACCTCATCCGAGGAAGATGCCTCATAAGATACACTCCTTTCTCTCGTGTTCAGACACTGTC